TGATGAAGAAGAAATGGTCGGACTTAATCACTGATACGCTATATGATCCGCAGTCAACAAGACTGTTATCCTCTAACTGAATCACAATCTCACACGGACACAATGGTGCGCTCAACACAAGAAAGCGCGAATCCAGTCAGATACGCTGCGACTGATAATGAGTGAAACCCTCCACTTTACCACAGGAACTTTAGGACGTACTGGTGCGCGACTGCAAGACAATAGATAGACCTCCCAGCCTACCAGTCGAATCCTCCCTTATCAGACACGACCTCCAAGACAGCCGAAAGCGAGACGAACCAACTTCTAAGTGGAAATGTTCTGCGAACGATGGAAATAAGGGCACATGATCGCAACACGTGCCTCCAAGTCGACTTGCGCGAACGGTGAAATTTGTGACCACACCTTAAATTAAGGCCACTATGACTAATATGACCAGGAAGCATTGAATACTGAGCAGAAGTAATCCTGAAAAACTTAAGATTGGTAGAAGTATACGTTCCAGGTAGTGTGGCCGCAAATGCAGACAAGCTTTCCATCTGACGTGCATTGCAGACTTCCCTATAGCGAACCTGGTACTGCATGTATCGAATCCTGCCCAGATTAACAAATCCTTCAACTCCGTTAGGAGTTGGGTAGCTTTAACTTTTGAGATAGAAAACTCATACGTAGACCACACACTGCATAGTAAAGAAGCATCCAATTTCCTTGTGATTCTCAACAGATGAGCAATGCATAGCACATCTACAGGGGACTAACCAACGCTCTATAACTGCGTGTATGGAGCCCGCTACCACAAAGTTCAGAACGAGATGAAGCTCAGAGACCTTCTAGACTGAAGAAGCGAAGTATTTCCGTTTTGTGGAGCCTTTATTTGTACAAATTGAAGTGAGAATCTGAGGTTATTCGAACTCTTGCAAGGGTCTGCTGAAAAAACAGCACAGTTGTGCGTCACATTTCCCTACGATTAGACGCGTGGAAGCGGATAATACGGCCAATCGGATATCATTTGCAATGCACACCCGCCCACCTCTATACACTTTTGCGAAAACTAATCCGTGGCTCTCATAGGAACTGCAGAGCGCCCTCAATCGAGTATTCAAACAACTGACCCAAAACAAGTCCCACTAACCAGAAAAATCACTGCCATTTCCCACACGAGTTATTTTTCACATAGATATTCGCGAGATAGGGAGTCTAGTCTCTTTATAAACTTGACTGAAGATTTATTCACGAAAATCGCAAGGGTGCGATAGCAATACAGTCTTGTCGGCTAGAGATAAAAGAGCGTATCAGGATGGTTTGGCACGGCGCCAAACCTACGGCCGGTAAACTGTACCACAAGGGGAGAACTAGCGAAAGCGTCAGCTCAAAACCACAACTCTCGCTGCTGACCCTGACCTCAAAGCTCCCTTCATCGGGATTTATAATTTTCTGTTCTTTCTGCTATATAACCCTCCAAGAAAGCAAGTTTGCACTCGAAATCTGGAGTCATGCGAACTCCGGGGTACTTTTCTAATGCGAGAAAGCAGATTCTGCCCCACTTCCAAAGGTTCACCAAAATCATTTGTGAACACCATAGAATAAATTTTTATTCATATCAATCTAAACGACCGAACAAAACGATTTTTTCAACACAAAAAGAGACATCAAGATCAACGTTCACGTAACAGCAATTAAATATGGACCATGATATTGAGGGATTTTCGAAATACGAATTGTGGTCAACTCCATGTCGAAGTGAAACTCATAACACCGAGCTGAACGCTACCGGGTGCGGTAATGATGGGATTCACCGCTTTATATTAAAACTGGAGCGACTACGATTGTGATGATCAACGGAATAAAGATTGAAAAAAGGATTGGAACAACGGATGAAAATGGTATCAGAAAGGATTCAAAGTCTCATCAATAAGAACAAATACATACTTGAACAAAAGCAATGTTTATTCCTTGTTTTCCTTTCCTTCGGCTTTTTCCTCTGCTTTCTCTTCGGCTTTTTCTTCATCCTTCTTGTCCTTGTCACCTGCTTCGTCATCGTCATCTTCAAGGTCCGGCATTTCTATAAAGGTTATTTTCAAAAAATATACATGTTCAAGCACATCCTGCGCGTGCTTTGAAAGTGCTTAGAATGCAAAACTAGAAAAATTATTTACCTCCATCACTATCATCGTCAAGTCCATCAAAGTCAGGGGCGCCGCCTGAAATATTGTGAATTTCATAAGCTATAATATGGTGGACAGCTTCAACTGGAACTCTTCAAACGCGTCAACTTTCTGTTCTGGTCTGCACTCTTTCGTCTACATGGGGCTGTGCTCATATTTTGCGCTAACGTACGGCAGCTTTTCGAGCGTACGCCAGCATCTAGGAAAGTATAGATGTAGGCCTAGCAAATGCCAGCGTACAGCAGCGTTTTCACGGGCAGTTTTGCTCAAAATCCAATTGCCTGTGAAAACACTGGCATTCGCTAGATCGACATCCATAATTTCCTAGTCGCTCGCGCTGGCGTACACTCGAAACGCTGCCGTACGCTGACGCAAAGTATAAACGTAGCCTGACGTCCACTGATCGCTAAGATCTCGCTCATTTTCCAGCTTCTAATATGATTACTCGGGTCACCTTTTGCAAAAGCCCTACTCAACTTGCCACATGTTCCTTTACAGCCTTCAATGCTCCATCAGGCATACACTATACTACTTGTGCTACAAGGTCTTGAGAAAGGACAATAACAACATGTCACGTAACAGGAAGTGGTAGTTACAGTGTACAAAGCTTACCTCCACCTCCCATTTGATTCATATATGAATTGAGATCAAATCCGCCTGCTCCTGAGCCACCGAATGGCATCCCGTCTTCAGCACCAGAGTCATCTTCGTCCTTCCACTTATCGAAATCTACTTTCAACCAGTGGACCTGGAATTAGAGAATGTTGTATTCCAGTACCCGCTGAAATCGCTAATGTTACTCCAGTATTGCAAAATCGTTTCTGTTTATACTTTGCGAATATGAAGAATCCGTGATCTGGGAGAAAGCACGCTTTTAAAGTGCTCAACAAACGGTGAGACGACCGACTGGACACAGAGAACATGTTCATACTTCGCGATCCCATCGCTCGCGCGGCCCGATCGCAAAGTATGGACACGATCTATTCAATAGCACACTCTCTGGAATAGCGTATTCGCCTTATTCGCAAAATATGAATGCGGCGTGAGCCCTCCCGTACGACAGCACACTGCTCCCAGAACTACTAACGTTAGAAGTTTCGCTGAAAGCAAAACCTTGAAAATAGAACATTATAATAATTTCGACTTCTTTGAAATCGGGAATTCAAAAACCAGAAAGCAAGATCCTCATCTCAATATATGCACTGCTTCCAGCAACTGCGGACTTGACCGCATGCGCTAAGATGTTCCATTCGGAGCGCATGCGGTCAAGTCCGCAAGTCGCTGGATGCAGTGCATATATGCCGATTCCGCAGTTCCGCAGTATATGACTTTGCCACTCTTCAGTTTCATTAACTGCGTCATTATTATATTTGGAATGTAAATGGATCCTATCGATGGCAGACTCTTATCAGTTTTTCACGTCGGTGATTTACGCACCACTTAGCCCGCAGTTAGGACGCGCTGAGGCCGCGTCCACACAATGCAGAAATGCCGAGACTTGTGGAATTGGGAGAATGCAGAATTTGCAGAAGTGAGAAAGCATATCTATCGATTTGAAAAACCGCAAAACGGGAGAAATGTGAAATGCCGAAATTTCTACATGTCGGCCCGCTGGTGGAGCTAAGCGATCAATCCCTATCAAGTCGTAGTCCGTCATTTCGGCATTTCTGCAAATTCTGCATTTTTGCCGATTCCGCAGTTTTTTTGGATCGTGTTCTATCTGCTGTTTCGACATTTCTTCGAAGTAGGTGTAATGCGGCCTCACACTTCGCGAAACTGGAGAAACTAGGAGCATCGAAGACCCTGCGAGTCACGAATTCTGGGAGGATCGGAAAACCGCAATAAGGAAATGTATACGGATCTGAATCCGGGGATTTGTGATTCTTAGAATCTCCTGGTCGTTAGGTTGCATTCATACATGACGACTCTGAAGAATTGAGGAAATTGCAGATAAGCAGTTAATGTACAGATCTGAAGAGCCGCGGAATGGGAGCACTGCAGAAATGTGGAATCTGCACAAATGCCAAAATTCCGCAGAATGGGGATTTCTCCGAGGGAGGAAACTAAGCGCTCATCCCTATGACGTCTCTGTCCGTCATTACGGCATTTATGCATTCCCCATTTCTGCATTTCTCCCAATTCCGCGGTCCTTCAAGTCAATACGTACTTCTTCTTATATACGCTGTTTTGTCATTTTGCACATAAATGATTTCCCGCGCACTTTCTGATCCGTCGGTTCGCCAGTTTCGCAAACAACGAACGCAGCTCTCCTCATCAATTCATCCAACTCCCGTATGCACTGTCTGCAGATAAACCGTCTAACACATTTCTACATTAAATGAGCAATACATGCAATTATTTACAAGATTGTGAAACAAAAGCAAACATGAAGATAACCACGCAAAACAAAAAGGTACAAACAACAATTTCGAAGGATTTCAGTCAAAAACACAGAGTAGATTTTGCACGCTCTGCCATTTTGAAAACTGGAAAGAAGTCAAAAGTACTTGACCCACCTTCCCTTTTTCTTTCAAAAGTCGAGGCCACCACTTTGCTTCCTTCTTAGGAATATTCAACTCAATGACTCGAGTATTTGTAGGCGTACGCTTCATATCGCTGCCCACAATTTCATCGTAAAACTCCAAGGTTGTCTCATAAACCTCGGTGTGGCTGGTTCCTCTATAATGTTCAAAGCTTGCACCCATAAATAAGCAACGCACTGCTAACTGTTTACATCACTTACCCAGAACTAAGGATCTCAACGAAAACCATTCACAAACATAGCGTTTACAAGTAAGGTACAAAGAAAACCCACTTGAAATGCAATTTATTATTGTCGGCGGTGAGATCATCAACAGTAACTTCATCAATTTCAATTGTAACATATAAAAATGACTCTCGTTGTGCCCAAATAACTGAAGGCTGACGAACCGCCATTCCTGAAATGTGGGAATCAACGCTTAAAATGAGACCCAATTACGTATTTGCGAATGGACTGAACACCCTTTGAAACGAAAAGAAACCACAATATTCCAAAAATCTACCCTTTTACTTTCAAAAGAACAAGCGTGAAATAACCACCAAAAACACCCCGATCCGGATCGCTCGGTTTTGAAAATGAAATTTAAAGGATGAACACGTTCGAGAAAACGGCAGCGCTTCGGGACCAGATGCAAGTTTCAACTAGGAGTCCTTTATAAAATATTGTGTAACACAGTGGTTGGTTTGCTGTTTTCTCCTGAAGGACTTGTTTTGGTTACTAGTTTTAGAGTGAGATTGTGCAATGGTTGGGCTAGATGACGGGTGCTTTGAAAGTTCTTATGGCAAGAAGTTTGCTGCTCCTACTTATCGTTACGCAGTCTATAATTTTACGTATTCGTGTACTTTCAGGTCACTTGGGTGGCAGGCTTTGTTCCGGAGTTTAGGATGTCGGAAGAAGAAAAGAAACTAAGCAAAAAGTAAGTAATGCTTCTCAGATACGCTGCTTTTGGGCTTTCTGTCGCCCGTCGTCTCTCAATTCCTCGAGGCATTAGCCGAAGGTCAGTTATCTGGCCTCGCCGAGTAATCTGAGGCAAGTTTTCATAAGTCACGCTTACGCAGTGTTTTTAGTGAGCAGAAGAGGTTGGCTAAACAAGCTCAGAAGGAAAGGGAACGCCTGGAAAAGGAGGCAAAGCGTCTTGCAGGATTGGACCAAGCGAATGCAAAGCCCGAAAAGGTAGAGGTACTTTGCACCTAGTTACTGAGTGAACTCGTTTCCTTGACAACCGCAACCCTTCAGTCGTCGTTTTGGGTCCCTTAAGAGGAACCACTCGAAGGAACACCGGTGTATTGCATAAACACATCGATTCCCACATTACAAGGGAAGGACGGTCTTCAGGAAGGAGCCACTAATTTGCCCTTGCCCGATGATGAATAGTATCATTAAGGTCGTCAAAGAGGCAGACCCATCCGATCCGCAAGAGTACTTCAATATGCGAGTGGATATGATCAATAAAAGACGAGAAGCTGGAGAAAATCCGTTTCCGCATAAGGTAACCTTAACGATTATCCCATATTGGTGTAGTTTTTGAATTTTCTTTTCAGTTCAACGTATCCATTTCGCTTGCTGCTTTTGTAGAAAAGTACGAGCGGCTCCAGAAAGAAGAAGTCTTGGAAAATGAACCTGTCAGCATTGCTGGTTGGTCAATCGTTTACTTTCCCTGAATGTATTAGGTTGTCCGGAAAGTTCTCAGCGTTTTGAGCGTTTGGTCGAGAATCCACGAAGGCTTTTTTTGCCTGGTCTTGATTGATGAAGTGTTTCCAGCAAGGAATTTCGATTTCAAACAATTTACTGTGCCGTGTTGACCCAGACTCTACCAGTAAATACTAACATTTACATCTACTTACTGTGACAATATTAGCATGGAATATCCTAGCATTATCATAGTGATCGAAAACCTCTACTTTGAAAGGAAGTTCTGAAAATGTTTGAAAAGGTGATAGTCGGTTGGTGAAAGGTCTGGAGAATGGCGGGTGAGGTAGAACTTCAACCCCCAATTCGTTCAATTTATGGATAGTGATTTGTGAAACGTGTGGGCGGGCGTTGTCATGCAAAAGAATCGGACCCTTTCTGTTGACAAGTGCTGGCTGCAGCTGACGCAATTTTCGGTACATTTCGTAATTCCCTCTCG